ATCCATCCATCCATCCATCCATCCATCCATCCATCCATCCATCCAATCACATTTGTAGGCCACCATTCAGGGCAGTATAGAGATTAAAATAATAAAAAGTCAGTACAGCAATCAAAACCATAAAAAGAAGAGGGCCAAATAGGAAGACAGCAAATGGAATAACAGCACAACAGGCCTACCATGGGACCTCCCATTCCTTAGCCCAATGCCTGTGGGAAGGGCCCGATCTTTAAAGCTCATCTAAAAGAGAGTGAGGATGGTGCTGTTCTGATTTCTGGGAAGATGCTATTCCAGAGGAGAGATGTTGCAACAGAGAAGATGCACTGCCTGGGTCTCATCAGATAACATTGCTTAATAACCTGAAGCGTGCTGACCCTGTCAGATCTTACAGGATAGGTAGATACAATGGGAGAAAGATGGTTCCTTAAGTAATACGGCCCTATGACATGAAGGGCTTTAGTGGTGATAGCCAGCACCTGGAATTGCAGCTGGAAGCCTCTTGGTAAGCAGAGGGGTTACATGAGCATATCATGACATGTCCATAACTGATTGTGCCACTGCATTCTGGACCAGTTGAAGCTTCTGAGGTCCCTGTTGAGTGCATTGCAATAATCCAGATTAGAGGTGACTGAGGAATGGGCATGATTAAGATACAAATGGATTTGTGCAAAGGCCTTCTCAAGAAGAAGCTGTGAGTCTAGGATAATTACACACCCGTTCTGGTTGAGGGATTGTCGGCAAATATTCACCAACAGCTGGGTTGCTACATTCTGGACTAATTGAAGCTTCCATATGGTCTTCAAAGGCAGCCCCATGTAGAGTGCATTATAGTAGTCCAGACACATGGTAATGAGGGCATGAGCTACTGTGTTGGAGTAAATATGGGAAGGCCTCTGATACAGAGACATCCGTCCTTGGAGTGATACTCATCTTAATCACATTAATACTACCCCAGAAACTCAAGGGAATGCAAGACCATATTGCTTCTTAACAGTTGATTTTTCTGCAGGTTAAAAATGCCATGTTGGCAGGAGCAAAAGGAATTATCCTCTACTCTGATCCTGCAGATTATTGTGCACCTGGAGTCAAACCCTACCCAGATGGGTGGAATCTTCCTGGACAGGGAGTCCAGCGTGGAAATGTGTTAAATCTAAATGGTGCAGGAGATCCTCTTACTCCAGGCTACCCAGCCAAAGGTTAGTGTCCACAGGCCCAGGCATGTCACCTTGAGCCTGCTCATTGGGAAGGAAAGACCGTAGCTTGTTGATGTAATGTCTGCTTTGCATATAAAAGTTGTCAGTTACAAGGGTTGAGCATGTCAGATAAGGCAAAAAACAAGCAAACATAACAAAACAAAACTGACTAACCTCAATATAAACCAGGAATGGCTAAGATATTCCAATTGTGGATACACTCTTTAAAATAGGTCCAAGTGGCTATAGAGATATGTATAGCAATTGAATGATGCCACCAAGGCTTGGAAAAATGCTGAAATGGAAATAGGAAAATGTTGATTGGCACCTTTTGGTGACAAATTAATGTGAAACTGTACAGCTGAAAACCAGTGGTTTTACTTCTGAAAGTTCAGCAATCCAATCTGAGTACCTCTCCAGATCATAAAATGAAGACTGTAAGCCACAGGTGGTCTGATATAGACCAGCCTTCCCCAATGAAGGGCTCTCTAGACATATTGGGATTCAATCCATATAATCTACTTCAGAGTTGGTTGTAAAGCTGGTGTAAACCAGTGGCTCCTCAACTACTGGTAGGATACGGAATTTTTCTAGGTGTTTCTCCTGTCTTGCTTGATCTGACAACAGCTCACCCAGATCACATTCAACGGCCCTAATATGGCTTCTTCTTTTTTTCTCCTTCCATATGTTGGGAGAAGAAGTAGGAACCATGACTGCCTGCCACTTGTCAAAATCTGACACTGTGTTACTGACTATTGACCAATAGCAAACTGGCATCATTTCTGGGCCAGGACTTGAAATTGTTCCTGTAGCAGCAGTGTACAACAGAAGAGCTGAGAGGCATCACATTCGCGCTGGAGAATAGCTGCTCTCTTGTGTCCTGGTCCTTTCATTAGTTCCATGGAGACAGACCATGCCCCTGGCTCAAAATCCCCATTTGGCCTGGCAGGGTTCATCAAAAACATCAGCTCAGAGATCCTTCCTTTTCCTGCAGGTCAGCCTTCAGCTTTCTGTAAAGATTAGCTAAGCAGTGATTCCTTGTATGGGCAATTTTAAAAGTTGTATACCAGGTTGAAATTCAACAGGGGAGACTTATCTTCTGCTGGGAGGCATACTTATGAACTTGGAGAGTCTATTATTGTTATTATGATTATTTGCACAGTCAGCCAGATGTTTGATGGTGTTAAAGGTATCGTTGCAGGATATAAGCTGTTCCAAGTAAAGCTGCCTTTTGTCAATGCCGATGGTCTTCAAGTGGTATTCCAGATGTTTTGGGATTGCACCCAAGACGCCTATTACTATTAATATTATCTTTGCTTTCTTTTGCCATAGTCATTCTATTTCTATTTGCAGGTCTTTATATTTT